CCATGGGTTCAATTGACAGGAATTGAGTGGCAGCCCTCACTGAGAGGGTGTGAGCTGGAGCATGTTTGTGAGCACAAGTGGGTAGTGTGTAATTATGTGTGACCCACACTGGCCTCACATTCTCCTCTCCAGCCACTGGGCAATGGGGAAGTGGCCTTGCCACCTCTAATCACATTCTCTGTCAATCGGGTCCAAACAGTTAATTACAAACCACCTCTTCTCTGTGGACACTTGGCTGGACGTCAGTGATCTTCATTCCCAGATGGTTTCAGATCTGTGGTGTTTAGTTAATGACCTGAATTCCATTTACATTCCCTTTGATTTCCTTCCTGTGTCAGTCTCTCCTCACCCCCTCCCATCTCCTCCTCTAACTCCTTCTTCCCCTCGAACCTTCCTCATTCGTCCCTTCCTCATACAGTCTCCAGCGTCAATGTCTGTCAGTGTCAGTGTGAGTGTCAATGTGAGTATGAGAGTCGGTGTGAGTGTGAATCAGTGTGAGTGTGAAAGTCATTGTGAGTGTGAGAGTCGGTGTGAGTCAGTGTGAGTCAGTGTGAGTGTGAGAGTCGGTGTGAGTGTGAATCAGTGTGAGTGTGAAAGTCATTGTGAGTGTGAGAGTCGGTGTGAGTCAGTGTGAGTGTGAGAGTCGGTGTGAGTGTGAGACGGTTGAATGTGAAAGTCGGTGTGAATGTGAGAGTGAGTGTGAGTTAGTGTGAGAGTCAGTGTGAGTGTGAGTCGGTGTGAGTGTGAGTCGGTGTGAGTGAGAGTCAGTGTTAGTATGAGAGTGAGTCAGTGTGAGTGTGAGAGTGAGTCAGTGTGTGAGAGTGAGTCAGTGTGTGAGAGTGAGTCAGTGTGAGAGTGAGTCAGTGTGAGAGTGAGTCAGTGTGAGTGTGAGTCAGTGTGAGTGTGAAAGTGAGTCAGTGTGAGTGTCAGTGTGAGTGTGAGTCCGTGTGAGTGTGAGTCCGGGTGAGTGTGAGAGTCTGTGTGAGTGTGAGTGTCTGTGTGAGAGTCTGTGTGAGTCAGTGTGAGTGTGAGAGTCTGTGTGAGTGTGAGAGTCGGTGTGAGTGTGAGAGTCTGTGTGAGTGAGTGTCTGTGTGAGTGTGAGAGTCAGCGTGTGTGTCAGTGTGAGTGTGAGAGTCAGTGTGAGTGTGAGTCTGTGTGAGTGTGAGTCAGTGTGAGTGTGAGAGTCTGTGTCAGTGTGAGTGTGAGAGTCAGTGTGAGTGTGAGTCAGTGTGAGTGTGAGTCAGTGTGAGTGTGAGAGTCTGTGTGAGTGTCGGTGTGAGTGTGAGAGTCAGTGTGAGTGTGAGTGTCGGTGTGAGTGTGAGAGTCGGTGTGAGTGTGAGAGGTGGTGTGAGTGCTGACCAGAAGCCCAGCCCCTCCTGTCCCAGCGCCGCTCACCCACAGCTGCTGGAGAGCAATGTAGGGAATGCGCTGAGCGATGCAGGGAATGAGGCAGCCATCGCTGGGAGCTCAGGGACGTGGGGCCAACAGCTCTCATTGTGGTTTGTCTGCCAGAGAAACAGCGCCCCCTCTCTGCACCGTGTCTGTAATAATACACCTCACTATAATAATAATAATAATCCTTGCATTTGATACGACACCTTATCAAAGCGCTTCACAGGATATACTGTAAAGTGAATTGATTGTATATTTTGTGGGCGAAACGCTTCAGCCAATTGCGCACAGCAGCGTCCCACAAACAGTCGTGGATTGAGTGACCAAATTATTATTGGTTTTTTTTCTTGAGGGATTATTATCAGGCTCTGTGTGGAGTAAGGAAACTTGCCCAAGGTTTCGCCCCCTGCCGGGAATTGAACCCAGGTCTCTCACTTGCGAGGCAAATGCTCTAACCACTGAGCTACAGGACTCACATGGATCTTAGGGAAGCATCTCAAAGCACTTCGCAGGATTTGACTGTAGTGACTGTGTGTTTGTAGGCAGGGGCAGGTACACGGATCTGAACCCTGGATGTTCAAATGTAAACTAGAGGAAATCGAGGTTAGAGCGAGGAGAGTCCCGGGTGTGGGGGGGCAGCCAGGAACTGGGGCTGGGCACGTGGTCAGCAGTGACCAGAGGGCAGTGGGGTGGGGAGTGGGGAACACTGTGGGGAAGAGGGGAGGTGACAGTGCAGGGCGGAGGGTTGGCAGATGTAGCTTGTGAGTTGCTGAGATGCAGTCAATCCGCAGTCTCGCTCCATGTTGTGTGTGTGTGTGTGGGGCGGGGGTGGTTGGTGGTGTTGTTTGGGGGTTGTGGGGAAGTTTGGGTTTTCTAGCCTCGGTCACACTCTTGCTCTTGGCTTGGGAGGGGAGGGGGGAGTGAATCCGGGATCAGTTTCCTCTGGGAGTCTCCCAGCTCCACAACAACAAAGTGCTGCTGCTCTTCCTCTCCGCATTCCACGGCATCACATTTCCTTTGGCAACAAGATACCAACAGGGCTGAGCCGCAGGATAGTACTGCACAACGCAGCCCTGCGCAACACAGCCCTGCGCAACACAGCCCCGCACAACACAGCCCCGCGCAACACAGCCCCGCGCAACACAGCCCCGCGCAGCACAGCCCCGCGCAGCACAGCCCCGCGCAACACAGCCCCGCACAACACAGCCCCGCACAGCAAAGCCTGGGGCTCAGTCACACACACTCTCCCCTCAGTCCTAGTCCACACATCACACTCTTTGTGGGATGTTGCTGCGCACAATTGGCTGCTGCATTTTGCCCACAAAACACACAGTCACTACACACAGTATATTATGTGAAGCGCTTTGAGACATCTCAAATGTGTGATAAGGTGCTATATCAGATGCCAGGATTATTATTATCATTGTACGCCGCCCGGCTTGGAGGGCGGTTTAAGATTGCGGTTCTGCCTCCGGGACCGTTCACACTGTCCTGCAGTAAGGGTTAAGACCGATTTACACTGAGCTACCGACTTGATGAGTTTGAGTTGAAGGTCACAGTGCGGGGCTCTCCTGGTGGGGGGGGCCTTTGACTATTGATCAGCATCGGGTACATTACACTGAAGAGGGTCAAGGCCGCGAAGTCTCTGACCTTTTGTTCTGTTTCTCTCGGTGTTTGTCTCTGGCTCGAGATGCTATCTCTGCGGCAGCAAGGTGGTCTATCTTTGGCTGAGGTTTCTGAGCTCTAGCTGTGAGCGGGTGTGTTGAGGTGCAAGATATCAGTGCTGGGACTGGCAGAATAGGCAGAAGGTCGATCGTACATTTAAAATAAAACAAGGTCTCCCAGGGAGTCTCAGCCCTGGTCTGGTCAGGGCACAACTCAAAGAAAGAAAAGACTTCATTTTTATAGCAGTCATTGTTTCCAAAAATGTCTCCCAAGTGCTTCTCAAGGACATTGACTGTCAAGTCACTGGTTTTCTAGGTAAACGCAGAAGCCATTTAATGTCTCGAAGCCGTGATAAGGCGCTATATCAAATTCAAGGATTATTACTATTAATAACACAGCCCAAGGCCCACAATCAGCTTGGAGTGATTGTATCTGGGGATTGCATCTTAAGCGCTCTGAGGCGCTACCCTGTATGGAGGGCACTATATAAATGCAAGTTGTTGTCATTGATGGTTGTCCAGGACTCTGGGTCTGTGTGTGTGAGTGTGTGTGTGTGGGGGGAGGGAGGGCGTTTCTCTCTCTGTGTTGCTGTTAACCTGAGCTGCACGTACCCAATGTGAGGGCTTGAACAACCTGGGATCTCTCTCTCGCATTTGCACTTCTCACACTCACTCCCTGTCTCGCTCTCTCACTCTCACTGTGAGTGGGAGATTCCCTCCTTTAAGTTCCTCCTTTGCGGGGGATTTTTTTTCTCGAAATTTATAAACTGAGAAAATTTTTATAATTGTGTAATATTATTCTGTGGCGCACGGGGAGGGGGTGGGGGCTGGGACGGAACGTGCCAAGGGCCCGGTGATTGTGTTCGGTGACCGATGCTTGGTGATCACTGACCGGTATTTGGTGACCAGTGATTTGATTGGTGACCGATGCCCGTTGACCAGACGCTGTGACTGGGTTTTGGGGAAATTTCCCCCATTGCTCATCATTCCGAACTCCTGGTTGTCAGCAGTTGTGGGAGTGAGGAACTTACTGTCCTGCACACACACACACATAGACACACACATATGCACATATATATACACACATAGAGTGAAACTGAAAGCCTGAGACTGGGGGGGGCTTTCATTAGCCCCTCCCTCTGCAGCTTAACCTAGACGGTAGATTACGTGCAGAAGGAGAGAGGGCAGGCTGGCCACTGAGCCACGCTGAGCCGAGAAAGGCTGGCCAGAACACGGATGAAGAGCTTAGAACACAGGCGTAAAGGTACTCGAGTCGTCGCACAGCTCCCTGCAATGATCTGAGATTCTCAACTTACTGGTGAACACGGTCCATCTTCAATTAGATTCTCGCTCGTCCTCTCTCTCTGTCTCTGCTTCTCTCTCAGTGTACCTTTTCTCTGTGTGTCTGTATGTGTTTGTGTGTGTGTGTCTCTCTCTCTCTGTCTCTCTCTCTGTCTCTCCCTGCGTTTGCCTCTTTCTGTGTGTGTGTGTTTCTGTGTGTGTCTGTGTGTGTGTGTATCTGTGTGTGTGTATGTGTGTGTCTTTGCTTGTGTGTGTGTGTCTCTCTGTCTCAACTTGTGTGTGTGTGTCTTTGCTTGTGTGTGTGTGTGTTTCTGCGTGTGTGTGTGTGTATATATGTGTGCGTGTGTGTCTTTGCTTGTGCGTGTGTGACGGTCACACTCAGCCCCGGGGTGTGTGTGTGTGGTTTCTGCCTGTCTTTGGAAGTTGTTGTGTGTCGACCGGTGTTTGGCTGTGAGAGCGCAGCTCACTGTAAACATTGTACGCTGCGGGAGTGGGGAAGGTCACCGAACTGTGTCAATACCGGGTGGGGTGGACGACGACAACACTGCATGGGTGGGTTGTGGGGGTGGGGTGGGGAGAGACACTGCGCTGACGGCCAATGCACTGACCCCAGCGTTGCTGTTGTTGTTGTTGCTGTTGCAGAGATCCGGGCACAGTTGTTGGAGCAGCTGAAATGCCTGGAGCAGCAAGCAGAGGCGCGGGTCCAGCTGCTGCAGGACCTGCAAGATTTCTTCCGCAAGAAGTCGGAGCTGGAGCTAGAATATTCCCGCAACCTAGAGAGGCTGGCCGAGAGGTTCTCAGCCAAAACCCGCAGCACCAAGGAGCACCTGCAGCTCAAGTGAGTGCACGCTGCAGCCAATCACTCTGCACCCCCCCCCCCCACCGAGCAACCGCGCAGCTCCCACGGAGCCCTAAGCACCCACACAGCCGCCGAGCAGTCATGTGCAGTCACCACACAGCCTCCGCGCGCGAAGCCTCCATGGAGCTGTGCAGCTCCCGCACCCTGCCCCCCGCAGCCACACAGCCCCCACGCTGACCCGTGCACCCACCTAGCCTCTCTCGCACACTCTCTTGCACACTCACACACTAAATCACACTCTCACACAGAGACACTAACATGCACACTCACGCTGTCTGTCACACACACACGCACTCACACACTCATGCAGTTACACTGTCACACGTGCACACACATACTGTCTCACACACGCACACGCACAGTCACACACACAAGCCCAGGACCTTGGAGCTGAGCTGACTGTGATGTAAAGCTCTCAGGGCCTGGCCCAGGCTGGGCTGATATATTTTGATATATTTAGGACATTAACCAACACTGTCTTAATACATCATTCTGTGCTTCACCGGCTTCCGGCCCATTCCGTTAACCCTCTGAGTGCTGACTGTGGAATGTTCCGGCAGCTTCAGAGGTTTGTGGTCACCAGCATCTGGTGAGAGGGTTGCTGACGCTGACATCTCCCCCACTTCCCCCCTCCCTCCCTAGCGCTCGGGACTTTGTGCCTGTCCCCCAACCTCCCTGCACATCTGTGTGTGTCTGTGACGGTGTGTGTGACAGTGTGTGTGAGTGTGGACAGTGTATGTGAGACAAGGTTTATGAGTGTGTGAGTGTGGACAGTGTTTGAGATGGTGTGAGTATGTGTGTGTGTGTGTGAAACAGGGTGTGTGTGTGTGGATAGTGTGTGTGAGACAGGGTGTGTGTGTGTGTGTGCGGACAGGGAGTGTGTGTGTGGATAGTGTGTGTGAGACAGGGTGTGTGTGTGTATGTGTGTGAGGGTGGACAGTGGGGAGACGTCCAAAGAAGCCGCACCCTGTGCCCAGGTCCCGAGGATCCCACATCAAAGCCTTTAACTTCATGAGGAAGTGGTATTTTACCAGTGTCACCAACGGGCGCACAACAAGATCAAGGGGTGAAGCTTGTTTGGTCTATTTAATCTCTCTCCATCCGTGTCCCCACTCCACAGCTCAGCTGGTTCTGAGTCACAGTCACGTCGTACCTCGCTCGCCTCACTGTTCCTCTTCTCCAGTTTGCTCCAGTCCTCAGGGCATCTGACTCCATTTCCTCCTGCGGGGGTGGTGGTGGGGGGGGTGAGGCAGGGAGATGATCTGTCTGCAATTCCTGGCGTAAACCCAGTTCTTTGACCGCGTCTATTGCTTCGTCCCCCGGTGTGTGAACATTCTGCATCCACCCCACCCCCCGCCCCCCCATTGTGAAGCGTCCAGACACTAATCAACAACAACAACAACAAGATTCCATTTATGGAGCGCCTTTCACATCGGGAGGACGTCCCAAGGCGCTGTTCTAATGAAAGGTGCTAATCAATCTAATGAAAGGTGCTGGACAAATAAATGCAAGTTGTTGTTGACTCACGGCTGCTCTCGGGCATGTGGCCACTGTGAAAACCATAACCGTGAGCGTGCGCTCACGCCCGTGAGCATGCGTTCACAACTGTTGAAGTACGAGCCGTGTTGAGAGAGAACAGTGTGGTGATGGGGGATCAATTTGTTGGTGGCTTATTGACACACACGCCTGCACACTGCACTATACACAGCTTTACCCCACAGTGTTTTATTGACAGGTTTCTCTCTCACCCTCTCGCTCTCTCCATCGCTCTCGTTCTCGCTCTCACCCTCTCTCTCTCATTCTCTTTCTAACTCGCTCTTCCTCTCTCTCCTCTTCTCTCCCTCTCCCTGAGCAGTAGGAAGGACCAGAATGTGCTGTCTCCTGTAAACTGCTGGTATCTGCTGCTGAGCCAGGTGAGGAGACAGAGTAAGGACCATGCCTCCCTCAGTGATATCTACCTGAACAACATCATCCCGCGCTTCACTCAGGTCAGCGATGATTCTGTCCGGCTCTTCAAGAAGGTAAGTAACTCCCATTGTCTGCCTGAACCCCCCCCCACATCACCTCCTCTCACCTCCCTTCTCCCGTCGCACACATTCCCCGTTGCACACATTCCCCGTCACCTCCCCACCCCCACTCCCGTCACTGCAGATCGGTTGTGCTGTGGTGTTGTGACAGCCAGGGTGGGCTAGTGCCGGGGGCTTGTCTCACTGGCTTTGTGCCCTGTGTGTGTGCAGAGTAAGGAGGTCGGTGGGCAGCTACACGAGGACCTGATGAAGGTATTGAACGAGTTGTACACGGTGAGTCTGACCCTCCTAAATGACCTGGGGGGAGGGGGGGAAGGGGCTCCGGTGGAGGTAGAGCTCTGGAGGTGGTAAAAGCTGTTCTTCCTGAGCCGTGTTAGCAAACGGGATGCACGCTCACACATGCTTAATCACGTTCATTGGCACACTTGTACTTAACTGACTCTCACACTCCCTCTAATGCACAGACACACGCATAGGCACATGATATAGCGCCTTATCACATTGTTGACTGGGGTGGATGGCGGGGGGGGGCGGAGAGTGTGCTGGGTCTGCCCAGCATTCTGGGACATCAGAGACAGATGTGCGGCAGCTGGGGGTGGATTGTGGTCTGCTCCCAGATGGTTAGCAAAGACCATCAAACTTCCTCCCTCACAGGGCTGCAGCTTTCTGATGATTGCCGGGGAGGATAGGGTGGGGGGGGGGTCGGGAATGTGTCTGATGTTAAGAATCTCCAGTGTTGGGGGCTGTGGTTCTGCCCCCAGCTGTGAGCCTGTTAATGCGAGGAAGTGAGGGGAGCATTGAGACCAGGTGTGTGAGAGCTGTACATACACGGACAGGAGACCCTGTGGCTCAGGGCAGGGGGGGGATTCACCTTTTGGGACACATCTGTACATACATTGCCTGCTCCCCCTCCCCCCCCATGTCTGTGTCTCCCAGCCCCTCTCCCACCCTCCACCCCTCGGTGACTGACAGCCACACTGAGTTGCCGTTCCTCTTCCCCTCCAGATACTTTCGTTATTAATAATAGTTTGCAGTTATGTGTCGCCCCACTCTCAGTCCCCACTGATTCCCTCTGGTTACTAACATGGCACTGAGCCTGTCACTGCTCACAGCCCCCACCACTGCCTCCCCCCAGCCCCAACCCCAAACTCACCAACCCCCTAAAAATATACCAGCCCAGGGCTGCCTTCAGACCAGCACTCACACTGACCGACCAGGAGTGTAACAGGAGTGCAATGGGGAGTGTAATGAGTGTAACGGGGGTGTAGGCAGAGTGTTATGAGAGTGTAATAAGAGTATAACAGGACTGTCCCCCCCGCTGCCCAGGTAATGAAGACGTACCACATGTACAACGCTGACAGTGTCAGTGCGGAGAGCAAGCTGAAGGAGGCTGAGAAGCAGGAGGTGAAGCAGATGGGCCGCTCTCCAGAGCCAGCCGCTGGCCTGAGGCTCGAAGACAAACACCAGCGGAGGAGCTCGGTCCGCAAGATCGAGAAGATGAAGGAAAAGGTTCGGGAACTGGGGAGGAGCGGGGTGGGGGAGGGTGGGCGGGCGGCGGGGGGAGAGGTAGAGAGTACACCGGGCTACATATCATTCCCGTCTCCCAGCTCTCTCTGCAAGGGCCAGTGAGGGTGACCGGGCTCCACTCCGCCCCCACCCCGCCCGCATGCTAAGCTGTGTCGAGGGGAGAGTATGTGTCTCCCACTGAGGGTGGGGGATTAGGACCTCTCTGTCTCTTGTCACACTCTCTCTCTCTCTCTCTCTCTCTCTCTCTGTCTTGCTCCCTCAGCGTCAGGCCAAGTACATGGAGAATAAGCTGAAGGCCATCAAGGCGAGGAACGAGTACATCCTGGCCATGGAGGCCACCAACACCTCAGTCTTCAAATACTACACCCACGACCTGTCCGATCTGCTCGATGTGAGTACCCCCCCAGCCTCCCACCCTCCGGACCTCACTCCCCCTCCCCCCACCCACAGCACACTCCCCGGAGCTCTCTCCTACTTACCCCACCCACTGGCGCTCTCTACTCTAACTCCATTCCCTGCTCGCTCCCCATGGTGCTCTCCCTCTCTCTCTCTCTCTCCCCCCCATGGTGTGTGTCCCTGTGTTCCCTCTCTCTCTACCCCCACGGTGCCTGTCCCTGTGCCGGCTCACGGTGTGTCTGGTTGCCCCCTGGTTGCCCTGGCAGTGTTGTGACCTGGGTTACCACGCCAGCCTGAACCGGGCAATGAGGACGTACCTGTCTGCGGAGTTGAACGTGGAGCAGTCCCGGCACGAGGGGCTGGAGCTGATGGAGAGTGCGGTGGACGGCCTGGACCCGACCAGTGACAAGCTGCGGCTGATGGAGCTTTACCACAATGTCTTCTGTCTCCCCCCACGCTTCGACTTCCAGCCACACATGGGCGACACGGTCAGTGAGAGCGAGTGTGAGCGAGCGAGCGTGAGTGAGTGTGAGCGAGCTGGAGTGAACGAGTACGAGCAAGGGAGTTTGAGGGAGTGAGTGCATATGTAAGCGAGCAAGTATGAGTGTGAGCGACGAGTGTGTCTGGTGTATTTGTGTCTGGTGTGTGTGCGTGTCTTTGATGTGTGCGTGTCTCGTGTGTGTGTAGTGACTGTGTGTGGTGTCTCCTCGCTTGGTGGAGTGGGGTCGTGACTGTGCATGGTGTAGTGACTATTGTCGGTGTATCCCCGTGGGCAGTGTGTGTGTCGTGACTGTGTGGGGTGATGTAGTGACAGTGTGGGGTGGTGTAGTGACTGTGTGGGGTAGTGGAGTGACTGTGTGGGGTGTAGTGACTATTGTCGGTGTCTCCCCGCGGGCATTGTGTGTGCAGTGACTGTGTGGGGTAGTGTAGTGACTGTGTGGGGTGGTGTAGCGACCGTGTGGGGCGGTGTAGTGACTGTGTGTGTCCCCGTGGCCAGGCTTCACAGCTGTACGCACAGCAGCCGGTGCAGGGGGAGTTAGTCCTGCGCTGCCAACAGCTGCAGTCCCGGCTGTGCACACTGAGCATCGAGAACGAGGAGGTCAGTCATCGTGTCCTCACCACACTCACTGCACCCTCTCCACAGTCACTACACTACACTCACACCACACTCACTGCACCCTCGCCACGGTCACTACACTCACACCACACTCACTGCACCCTCCCTCGCCACAGTCAGTACACCTACACTCACACCACATTCACTGCATCCCCGCCACAGTCACTACACTCACACCACACTCACCACACTATCACCGAGCCTGCCCGGGGCAGGAGGGAGCTGCACTGCTCTGGGTGATGCTGAGTAACCCCACTACCCCCCTACCCTCAGGTGAAGAAGACGATGGAGGCGACACTGCAGACCATACAGGACATGGTGACTGTGGAGGACTTTGACGTGAGCGACTGTTTTCACTACAGCAACTCCACCGAGTCCGTCAAGTCCTCCGACACCTTCCTCAGCAAACCCAGCCTCGCCAAGCGCCGCGCCAACCAGCACGAGACTGAGCTCTTCTACTTCACCGTGAGTATCACACTCACACTCCTCTCGCACACTCGCCTCTCACGCTCTCTCTCACGCACTCTCTCTCGCGCTCTCTCACCCTCTCTCTCACGCTCTCTTTCATGCGCTCTCTTTCACGCTCTTTCTCTCACGCTCTCTCTCTCTCGCGCTCTCTCTCGCACGCTCTTTCTCGTGCGCTCTCTCTCACGCTCTCTCTCTCTCTCTCTCTCACACACACAGAAGCTGAAGGAGTACCTGGAAGGCCGGAGCCTGATCACCAAACTACAGGCCAAACACGAGCTGCTACAGAAGACTCTGGGCGAGAGTACGTCCCTCTTCCCCGCTGCCCTCTGACACTCCCCACCACCCCCCCACCTGCCCCGATCCACTGCTCCCCTGGGGCTTAGCTCAAACCGGGGCACGAGGGGGTAGGACTCTGACCTTGAACCCCGACACCTGCTACAGGGGCTTCTGAAGCCAACCATGTGTTATTCCCCATTGTTTAAGTGAACTGATCCTCTTGTCCCAGGAGTGTGATATGGAGTCGTTGGGTCCAGTTCGTTGGGGTGGGGGGGTGGGTATATTTGGGTGCCAACTGTTGTTTGGGAAGACATTAAGACATTTGATTTGCTAATTATCAGGTTGTGAGGATTTTGAGAATTGTAAACCTTGAATAATGTTAATAACAGCTGTCGAACATCCCCTATCTGAGTGGCAAAGGTTTAGTTATTGATCAGCTGCTGGTTAATTGGTGATCGATCAGTCACTCGTCATCTGTCTCACTCCTCTCTCCTCTCCTCTCTCCTCTCCAGGCCAGAGACCGGACTTTTCGCTCGGCAGGTATTTTCACCTCCTCCTCGCTGCTCGTCAACCCAATCTGTCTTCACACAAGCCTTGCACACTCGCCGGGGGCACACTTATTGGTGTACACACGCTCACGTACCCCGCACGCTCACCTGCACAACAAGTACGTTCGCACACTCATACATGTACGCACACAAGGCGTGCGCTCACACACACATGCACACCGCAGAATATCCAGAGTCTGTTCCCCTCTGTCACTAACGCTCTCCTCCCCACCACCCCCCTCTCCCCCTCCCACCCCCGGTGCTGACCAGTGACAGGAGGAACTCCAGTGTCCGGAAACAGGTAACGGATTTCACCTTCAGCTGTTGACGTTACTTTGCCGTCTTAATCTACGGGATTTCATAATAATAAAAATATAATCCTTGCACTTATCACAGCGACGAGGCCTCTCAAAACGCATCAGAACATCTCACCGCGAGGTGTAGTGACTGTGTGCTTTGTATACGATTTGCATCCCGTCATTAAGAAATCCGTGACTTTGTCCTCTCCGGTGAGAGACGAAGGAATTATTTCCCACTGAGGATGTGTGTGTGGGGTGGTGGAAGGTGGAAAGGGTGTGAGCTGTCTGTGTGAGCCCAAAGCTGACCTATATTCCCATCGATATTCCCCTGATATTCCCAGCGCTATTTCCAGCGCTAGTCAGACAGTTGCCCACTCACTGCCCTCTCCTCACACTGACCTGTTTGCCCTCTGGCCTGACTGTAGGATGGGAGCCAGATCATTCCTCTGGTGGTGGAAAGCTGTGTGCGGTTCATCAGTCTGCATGGTAGGTACCAGCTCTCGCTCTCGCTCCGACAGAGAAACCCTTAACAATAATCCGGTGTGTGTTACTCCGCCAGGTGGGGGGGGGTGGCGTGGGGTGCGGAGGGGCAAAGGGGGCCGGATTATCGATGGTAACTTCTAAACCCGGCGATTTTTCTCCCCTCTCAGGCCTGAAACACGAGGGAATATTCCGGGTGTCGGGGTCACAGGTGGAGGTTAACGACATCAAAAATGCCTTTGAGAGAGGTGAGGGCAGGGGCGAGGCCATGGTGCTGGGGGAGGACTAAGACACGGGGGGAGGGGGCCGCTGTGCTGGAGACAGAGGCGGTGGGGGTGGGGAGGTTACACCAGTTACAGTGAGTGAATGACTGTTCATTACCAGGTGAGGACCCGTTGGCAGGCGACCAGAACGACCACGACATGGACTCGATCGCGGGGGTCCTCAAACTGCACTTCCGCGGCCAGGACAAGCCACTCTTCCCCAAGGAGATCTTCCACGACCTCATTTCCTGCGTCAGTGAGTTCCCGGGGATGGTTGGGGGGCGGTCGTGGGGGTGGGGGCCATCAGCTTCTGACCAGAGAATATCTCTCTCTCTATATCTCCGTCTCTCTTTCTATCCCACTCTCCAAACCCACCCCACTCCCCAACTCTATTCCCACCTGTCACCCTCTCCCTGTCGTGTTTGTGAAACCTTTGTGACTGTAAATAATGTGGTGGTCGTCTCTCTGTACACAGAGACAGAGAACCTTCCAGAAAGAGCTCTCCAGATGCGGAAAGTCCTCCTGACCTTGCCCAAAGCCACCATCATAGTCATGCGGTATCTCTTCTCCTTCCTCAGCCAGTGAGTGTCTGGCTGTCCTCTCTTCACACACGGGGGTGAGGGGTGGGTGGGGGGGGGGCGACGAGGGTTGGGGGGGCAGGAGGCAGGGGGTTTCAGCGATTAGCTCCACTGGCAGACATGAGCGCGCACGTGTGTGGGGGTGGTGGTGGGAGGAGTGCGTGTGTGGGTGGAGCGGGGAGTGCGTGTGGGGCGGTTGGAGTGTGTGTATGGGGTGGAGTGTGTGTGTGTGTGTGTGGGGGGGGGGAGGACGAGGTGGGAGGGGGGGGGGGTAAGGGCAGTTATCTCCGCTGATACAGGTGATGTATGGGTTGTCTATATCTCTGACGCTCCCCTCTCCCCCTCCCTCACCCCCACCCAGCGTGTCCCACTTCAGCGATGAGAACATGATGGACCCCTATAACCTGGCGATCTGCTTCGGGCCTACCCTGATGTCTGTGCCTGAGGGGCAGGACCAGGTGTCGTGTCAGGCTCACGTTAATGAGCTCATTAAGTCCATCATCATCCACCACGACATCATTTTCCCGGGCCCCAGGGAGCTGGAGGGGCCCGTGTACGATCGGGGCCTCCCGACAGAGCATTACTGGTGAGTCCATCAACAACAAATTTCATTGATATAGAAATGTGGGAAGGTGGGACCGTTTCGGGTCAAGCGGACTCCCTGCGCTCTCCCCCACCCCACATTTCCCCCACCCCCCCTCCCCACATTTCCCCCACCCCCCCTCCCCACATTTCCCCCACTCCCTCTCTCCCCAGAAGTAAAAGGGAAGAGAACTGATGGGAAAATTTATATATAAAATAATCTGGGAGTGGGTGTGTGTTTCTCTCTGTGACTCTATGTGTGACACTGTGTGTCTGTGTGACTCTTTATCTGTGTGTAACTCTGTATGACGTGTGTCGGTGTCTCTGTGACTCTCTATATAATGCTGTGTGTCTGCATGACGCTGTGTGTCTGCGTGACGCTGTGTGTCTGTGTGACGCTGTGTGTCTGCGTGACGCTGTGTATCTGTGTGTGACGCTGTGTAACTGAGTGACACTGTGTGTCTTTGTGTGGTGCTGTGTGTCTGTGTGACGCTGTGTGTCTGCGTGACGCTGTGTGTCTGCGTGACGCTGTGTGTCTGTGTGACGCTGTGTGTCTGCGTGACGCTGTGTGTCTGTGTGACGCTGTGTGTCTGTGTGTGACGCTGTGTGTCTGTGTGACGCTGTGTGTCTGTGTGTGACGCTGTGTGTCTGTGTGGTGCTGTGTGTCTGTGTGTGACGCTGTGTGTCTGTGTGTGACAGTGACAGCCCGCTGGGGGAGCGAGCCTCTGCTGGAGACCTTGTCCAGGAGCTGGGAACAGAGCCTCACACCAGCGAGGATGGTACGTGCTGCTCTCTGAGCGTTTTAACCTTTTATATCAACTGTTTCTGAGAGGTTCCCCAGAAGTGAATACATACAGTGCAGTGTGTCAGCTCATACACCTCAGCCCAGGCCTGAGTCGGGCCTGTAAACACAGTCCTGCTCTGGGCACAAGTGGGGGCGGTATTTGGGGCTACAATTGGCCTCACGGAGCCCCAGCAGGAGGTCTCTCCACCCTGGTCTCCTCGGGGCTGTCCTGGCTCCAAAGTGACTTGTTTGGCCGCAAAATGTCAGAATTGATCCCACCCAACTCTCTGCACCCAACCCACTCCTGCATAGGAGAGCAGGGTGGTTCCCTCCGGAGAGAGAGGGAAGAGAGAGAGAGAGAGAGAGGAAGAGAGCGCACACTGCATTCTAAACATGGGGAGGTTTCTATGTGTGGGCGGCATACGTACGTGGAACTGTTCCTCTGTTTAGTTGACTCTTAAACACAGTGATGGGTTTCCATGTGTGTTGGTTGCCCGGTGACCAAACTAAACACATGGGGGAGTCGGAGCTGCCGTGTGCTGGTGTGTGTGTGTGGGCTGACGGCTCGGGGGTGATGATGTAGTTTGATGTCTGGTTGCAGAGAGCGAGCCGATAGAAGCCATCGCCAGATTTGACTATACTGGCCGCACGGCCCGCGAGCTGTCCTTCCGCAAGGGGGCCTCGCTACTGCTGTACCACAGGGCCTCGGCGGACTGGTGGGACGGGCGGCACAACGGTATCGACGGCCTCGTTCCCCATCAATACATCGTGGTGCAAGATACGTAGGTGACCCTTCCCCCACCCACACCCCCCTCCCCGCCCCCAACCTGATATATTCCCTCTCTACGCTTTGCTAGTGAGGCGAGTGCTCCAAGCGGCTAGAGTCCCTGTAGCTCAGTGGTTAGAGCCCTGGCCTCACAAGCGAGAGGACCCAGGTTCGATTCCCGGGTGTGTCATGGAGAAACCGTAGGCAAATTTCCTTACTCCACACACACACGCCTCTGTTTATCAGCAGTCAGGAGGATCCCGCTTGTTAGTCAATTGGTGAATCGCTTTTCCAAGGGTAATAATCCCTTCAAAAAAAATAATAATTTGGTGACTCAATCCACGACTGTTTGTGGGACGCTGCTGTGTGCAATTGGCTGCCACGTTCTGCCCACAAAATATGCAGTCACTACACTTTACAGAATATTCCGTGAAGCGCTTTGAGACGTCTCGAAGGCGTGAAAAGCGCTGTATCAAATGCAAGGATTATTGTTATTCACTGAAGATTAATTGCCTTGTTATCCTTACCCCCCACCCCCACCCCCGCTGCTCCCCAGGGATGACACCTTCTCTGACAGGCTGAGCCCGAAGGCTGATGTTGACGGGGGGAGCGAGCCCCCCCCAGAGGAGAGAGCTGCCCCCAGGAGCAGTCTCAGCCTCAGCTCCCCCACTGGCCACGTGGCTGATATCTACCTGGCCAACCTCAACAGGTCAGTCACCGGGGTGAGGGGCTGAGTGAGGGTTACTGTCTGTGAGGGTCTGTGTCGGGAGTGGTGTCGGCATGTGACAGGGTGTGTGTGTGTGTGAGGGTATGTCTCAAGGTGTGTGTGATGTGGGGATCAGTGTGTGTGAGGGTGTAGCTGTGGGGGGGGTGTCAATATGTGTCAGGGTGTGTGTGAGGGTGAGTGACTGTCCCCATGTCTCAGACAGAGGAGTCGGCAAACGGTGGAGTCAGCGAGCATCAGACGATCGCTGAGGGGTGAGAGCCATGGGCTGGCACTGCCCAGCCCTGAGCCCCCAGCAGGGGGCAGGGAGACCCCAGAGAAACGTCCGGTGATGGGACACGGCAGCCTGAGTGCCCTGACCCGCCGCACGTCCACCACACGGCCTGACAGCCCACAGGTCCGCAAAGCGACTGCTGCCGGCAGGTCAAAGAGCTTCAGTCACCACCGACCCCTGGACCCTGAGACCATCGCCCAGGTACGGCTGTCACTGACCCCCTCGCTCACCCCTCTCCTGCTCCCCCCACCCCCCACCCACAGCTCGACTACTACCCGCCTTTCAAAATAAATGTGGTCACTCAATCCACTGTCTGTGAGGACGTCACTGGACGCAATTGGCTGCTGCGTTTCATCCACAAAGTACACAGTCACTACACTTTGCAGTGTATCCTGTGAAGCGCTTTGAGACGATTTGACGACGTGATGTGACGCTGTATCGAATGCCAGGATTATTGTTATTATTGTTGAGATTATTATTTATTATTGATTATTACTGTTACCTGTTAGAGGCCATTGGGCCAGTCTGAGCTTTTTACGGCGCTGTGTTACAGGACATTGAAGCCACCATGAACTCTGCACTGAACGAGCTTCGGGAGCTGGAACGACAGAGCGGCGTGAAGCCGGCTCCTGACGTGGTGCTGGACACACTGGAGCCCAGCAAGGCTGTGGGGGGGCCGGGGGGCCGGGGACAGAGCCCGTCTCCGAGCCCTCCAGCCCACTGCACTCCCGTATCCTGCGCGACTGCGAGTCCTCGCTCCAGCGCAGTGCAAGCTCCTCCTGTGACCTTCCCTGCGCCTTCCGTCCCGTCAAGTCCGTCAAACTCGCTGTGCAGGTCAAGCCCCCCGCGCTCAGGCCCAAACCTGCTGTCTTCCCCAAGTCATCGCCCCCCAGCACCAGCCTGGCATCACCCCCCGGCCAGCAGCCCCCACCCCCAGACAAGTCCTGCACCGTCTGAGCCCCCACCCCCTGCGCACAGACCCCTGCACACAGTCTCGCCCCCCCACCACCGCTCGCTCCCAGTCTTGTTCTCAGCTAAACTGGAAATAAACACGTGTGGGCGGGTGGGTGGGGTGGGGGGTGCGGGGGAGAAGGCAACATTGTCACCGTTTTGCAGCTGCTCTGAGAAGCCCCAACCCCCCCCCCCCCACCTTCACACCCCCAGCCTCCTCACTCTCTCTCTCCCCCCAAAATTGCATTGTTGCTAAACTCCAGACAGCATCCCCCACCCCACCCACCGCCGCCTGCTATTTTCGGGCTTGTGCCACCCCTGGGTCCGAGGGTTATTTGCATTACCGATGGGTATGGGGGGGAGAGAGGGACCTGCGGGGGGTTGGGGCTGCGTGCCAGACGTTGGTGGGCGGGTGGGGGGTGGAGAAGGAAGGGCGCAGTCTGATGACCTAATTTGTGGAACTGAAGTCAGAAAAGTACCGTCGCAGTGTTTACCTGACAAAATCTGACCCACTTGCCTGGAGCTGCCGGAGTCTCCGAATCGGACGCAGCCCGGCACAGGCACAAGGCATCTGGAATTTAGCACAAAAACAGGAGACCAGAGAGAGAGAGAGAGAGAGAGAGAGAGAGAGAAACAAACAAGAGATGGAACATTTTCACTGCGATTTTTTTGTGTTTTATGTTTTATTATTATTAAGAAAAGAATTTTTTTATTATTTTTTTTATCAAAAAAAACTGCAAAATGACACGAGACGGATTATTTTTTCCCCCTCGTTTCATTCCTCCCTTCCTTCTTTCCTTCCTTCTCCTCCTCCCGTCTGCATTTTGTTCTGTCACGTTGTAAAATTGTGAATTATTATATTTTGAAAAGAATATGACTATTTACTGAGAAACTGGAACTTGTTTCATAGCTTTTAGGAGAGTTTTAAATAAACTGTAATTTTTTTGTGGGGGGTTGGGGAAGAGTGTAGTATTAATAGCTCCGGTCTGTAAATCTGCTTGTATTATTGTCTGGCACCCATTTATCTCCTTGTAACCATGGATGACATAAATCTGCCTTTCGGTGAGTGTGTGTCCGTCCATCCATCGTTGTGGATGTTAATGAGGCCATTTCCCTGCCTGGTGTGAGCAAAGGGGGCAGCTCCCACCCCCCACCCAGTGACCTGAGTCCATTCCCCCCGCCCTCCATCCCCACCCCCCAGCCCATTAGAGGCGTGTTTGAGACGTTAATAGTTTAATAGTTCAGGTAATTTTGGTCCAATGCAAGTGTGTGAACTGTGGGAACCCAGCGCCCCCCACTCCTCTCCCCCGCCGCCACCCCACTCCCTCCCACATGTCAAATGGAAGGATTATTATTCTGAACCCAGTGAAAACTCCCAACGTGTTAGGAACAGGAGTCGGCCATTCAGCCCTTCGAGCCTGTTCATCCACCCCCCCACCCCCAGCATTCTCCTCTCCCTTCCACAACTTCCCCCCCATCACCCTGTGAGCCCCCCAACCCCCTCTCCTGGCTTCGTCGCAAATTTTGACTCTTTCCCGGGAATTTCTGAGTGTTCAAGTGGCCATTTTCAATGTATTATTAGCCAATGAGGGTGGTTCATGTTACTCCAATCAATAAACGTGTAATGAATAATTGTAAAGATTTTCTGTGTGTCCCTCCATCTGTGTGTGTCTTGAGTGTCGGTGAGTGTGTGTGGCACGTTGTGTGAATGTGGCCCAGGTGGGTGGGTGGGTGAGTGTGCGATGGGCGTGCAGGTGTGTGAGTGCACGGGTAGGTGTGTGTATGGGGGCGCAGTTGACACTGGTTGAGGGTGGGTTCGTGGAGGGAGGGGGTTGGTTGATGCCATGTTGATGATGATTCGTGTGTGAAGCTGATTGTAGCCCCCCACCCATCCTTCTCTCCCTCTCCCCCTTCCTCCTCCACCACCCACCCCCCACCTCCCCACTCATCCTGCTCTCCCCCACCCGTCCCCACTCCTCCTCCTCTCCCCCACCGCTCCCCTCTCCAGCTCTCTCCAACCCCCCCCCCCCCACCTCCTGTTTATGCTCTGAGCAAAGATAAGACACAAAGATAAGTGAAAGATTCCACCTGCAAATGTGTTTAACCTGAGGATTGCCACATCGCCTGCGCCATTGTGAGAGAGAGGACATCGCACCTGGCAGCATGAGTGAATCGCATGAGTAAAGGTCAGTGCAATCCACGCACCTATTTGCACAAGCTGGTGTGACAATCTGGGCAGCAATCGTGCAGGCTTTTTTCCGTGAACGGTAAACAAGTTTTGCTGGTTGCGTTTGAGTTTGGCTTTGATTTTTTTTGTCGGTACTCTTTTTGTGGGGTTTTTCTTTTGTGCCAATAAGTGTGAGGGGGTCACGCACGTCACTGGGGATGCAATAGGCTACTCTGCTGTACAGCGAAACACAGCAAAACTCTCGCTCTCTCCATCCTTCTCAATGTCCTGAAATACATCATACAGGAAACTCCTGATAACTCGCCCACAAAATACATAGTCACTACACTTTACAGTATATCTTGTGAAGCACTTTGAGATGTCTCGAAGACGCGATAAGGCGCTATATCAAATGCAAGGATTATCATTAGTATTTTTTCCTTCTCTTGTTTTCACTGCAAACCCTCCCTGATTGCCTCTCGATGCCATTGACACTATTGCGGGTTCTGTCTCCTGGTAGAGGTTGTGTAAGTGAGTCTGTTTCTATTTGTGTAGAAGGTTCAGGCTGATGTTAAACTGTCTCCCAGAGGGTTGGAGGTTTTTATATAATGAGTCGTTTGTCTGCGTCAAGGTACAATTCAGCCTCACAGCCACTGTAATCAGGTCACCTCACGCACTCACTTCCCAAAGCCACCGCCACTAGCTACATTGTGCTCTGAGAGCCAGGCTAACCCCATCCTCGGCACCAGGCCTCAGGGTGTGAGCCAGAGCCCAGTGCGTGAGCCCAGTGTGTGAGCCGGAGCCCAGTGTGTGAGCCCAGTGTGTGAGTGACACGGAGCCCAGTGTGTGAGTGACACGGAGCCCAGTGTGTGAGTGACACGGAGCCATGTGGATGTGTGAGAACCTCTTTCAACTCGGTAATGAGACTCATTGTATCGGACTTCACATCATACAACCAGTGGTGCTGTGGGTTGTCCACATACTCACGGTCCCCCCCACAGTGCCCCCCCTCCACCCCCCACAGTGCCTCCCCCCCACAGTGCCCCCCCTCCACAGTGCCCCCCCTCCACCCCCCACAGTGCCCCCCTCCACCCCCCACAGTCCCCCCCCCACAGTGCCCCCCCCCCCACAGTGCCCCCCCCACAGTGCCCCCCCCCCCCCACAGTGCCCTCCACCCGCGGTGGGACCCAGTGGGGAAGTATGATTTGTGTTCTCAGTAAGTTCCCTCTTTTTGCTTAATTTGATTTGTAAATGGTACCAAGTTGTGCAATTCTCTGGTTTCAATAATAATAATCTCCCGCCCACTCCCCCCCCCCCACCGCCCCCCACACCCCCACCGCCCGCCCCCACACCCCACACCCCACCCCGCCCCCCCACCGCCCGCCCACTCCCCACCCCCTCCCCCCCCCACCGCCCGCCCCCCACACCGCCCGCCCACTCCCCACGCCCGCCCACTCCCCACCGCCCGCCCGCCCACTCCCCACCCCCTCCCCGCCCGCCCACTCCCCACCGCCCGTCCCCGAGTCTTATTAACCATTTTTTGTAAGTTGTTGTTGTTGTTAAACCCCGTTCCATTCTGTGTCCTGTTGAAGCGGATGGGCCAGGAGTGTGTGTGTGTGAGTGAGTGAGTGAGTGTGAGCCCGGGGGGTGTGTGTGAGTGAGTGTGAGTCAGGGGTGTGTGTGAGTGAGTGTGAGCCCGGGGTGTGTGAGTGTGAGTGAGTGTGAGCCCGGGGTGTGTGTGTGAGTGAGTGTGAGCCCAAGTTGGGAGACAGGTGAGTGTTTGAACCACATTTACGAAAGGCGGAAACTGAACGGAACCGAAAGTGAAGCGACAGTGACGGATCTCTTCACTTTGAGGATCGGCGCAGATTCGCCTCCACCGGAACAGCAGAAAAGTGGGGTTTATAATGAGCTGAAACTTTGGCAAACGGACAGACAACAGACAGACAGACAACAGACAGAGGTGAGGGTGAGACCCCGCGGGGGGGGGGGGGGGACACTAACTGTAACCCCAGGAACTAACTGTAAGCCCGTCACAGCGCCTTTCGGGCCCCTCTCCCCGTGGGGAAGGCGCTCACACATATGTCATTCTGTGATGTACATACAACTGTGTGTGTGTGTGTGTTAATGTGTCTGTCTGTGTGTATGTCTGTGTCAGTGTGTGTGTGTGGCTGTATGTGTCAGTGTGTGTGTGTCGCTGTATGTGTCAGTGTGTGTGTGTGTGTGTGGCTGTATGTGTCAGTGTGTGTGTGTGGCTGTATGTGTCAGTGTGTGTGTGTGGCTGTATGTGTCAGTGTGTGTGTGTGGCTGTATGTGTCAGTGTGTGTGTGTGTGGCTGTATGTGTCAGTGTGTGTGTGTGTGTGTGTGTGTGGCTGTATGTGTCAGTGTGTGTGTGTGGCTGTATGTGTCAGTGTGTGTGTATGTGGCTCTATGTGTCAATGTGTGTGTGTGTGTGGCTGTATGTGTCAGTGTGTGTGTATGTGGCTCTATGTGTCAGTGTGTGTGTGTGGCTCTATGTGTCAGTGTGTGTGTTTATGTGTGTGGGTGCTGTCACCTCTCTGTGTGTTGCTGTCAGTCATTACCTGCCAAAACTCTTGTTACTCTCTCTCCCACCCACTCCCAATTCCTTCCCCTCTTTCAGGTCGCGCTTGAAGACCTTCTTCTTCGATCGTGTCTCCGGTCACGCTCCGCCCTCCCCCCCCGGCTGCCCTGTGCGAAGGGCGCTGTGTAAACGCAGGGCACAATGCAGAGCTCCAGGAATTACCTGTGGCTCCTTGGGGACATACTGGGCCAGGGGGCTACCGCCAGCGTGTACAAAGCCAGGCACAAGGTACAGTGGGGAACTGCGCCAGCGGGGGTGGGGGGAGGAGGCTCTCTCACAGCCAGGGGTGGGGGGGGGGGGGGGGGGGTGGAGGGTGTTGTATGATGCTGGGCAGGCGATTAACACTTGGGGGAAATGGTATCAAAGAGTAGGATCATAGTAGAGAGCTCCAGTGGGGGAGCGAGCCCCAGCACAGACACGATGGGGAGAGAGAGTGCAGGGAATGGGGTTAGAGTAGAGAGCTCCAGTGGGGGAGCTCGAGAGGTGTGTGGGGAGTGGGGGGCGGTGGGGGGAGATGCTCACAGTGTTAGCTTCTCGCTGTAAGGGTGCTGTTTGCTGTAACTGAAATCGTGCACATTCCAGAGAAGTGGAGACCCTTTCGCTGTGAAGGTGTTTAACAAGGTCAGTTACCTCCGACCCCACGACGTGCAGATGAGAGAGTTTGAGGTCCTGAGGAAACTCAGCCATAAGAACATCGTCAAACTCTTCGCTGTGGAGGAAGTGGTGAGTGGCTGACCCCCTCCCACCCCCCCTCCCCACCCTGACCCCCCATCCCCCATCGACCTTGCACCACTGCTCTGCCACACTCTCTATAACTCTCTCACTCAGTCTTCTCTTTCACACACTCTCTATCATACTCTTATCTATCTCTCTCTCTCTCTCTCTCTCTCTCACTCTCACACTCTCTCTTTCTCTCTCTGTGCCCAGGGAGGCACCAAGCAGAAGGTGCTGGTGATGGAGTATTGCGCTGGCGGAAGTCTGCTGAACCTTCTAGAAGAATCAGAGAATGCCTTTGGCCTGTCGGAGCCCGAGTTCCTGAACGTGCTGCAGAGCATCGGTGAGCAATTGTGCAACAGTCGTGCAACACACACGCGGCAGGCTGATGTGGCGAGGGTCCTCTCTGTCTAGTGGTGCTCTCTCTCTCTCTCTTGTCTCTCTCACACTCTCTTTTTCTCTCTCTTAAGTGACTGTGGCATGGGGGCGGGTGACAGCAGCGTGTTGTTGGCATGTGTGTGATAGCAGTGTGTTCTTGGTGTGTGCTGGTGTTGTCGGTGTGTTGTTGACATGTTGTTGGAGTGTGGTTGACAGTAGTGTGTTGCTGGCATCTGTGATGGTGGCATGTTGTTGACGTGTGACGGGGACAGTGACAAGTTGTTGACTTGTGTGATGGTGGCGTGTTGTTGATGTGTGCATTGGTGGCGTGTTGTTGGCAAGTTATTGGCCTGTGTGACGGTGACTGGTGTGTTGTCGGCGTGTGTGATGGTGACAGTGGTGTGTTGTTGGCCTGTGTGACGGTGATTGGTGTGTTGTTGGCATGTGTGACGGTACGGTGGTGTGTTGTTGGCCTGTGTGACGGTGACGGTGGTGTGTTGTTGGCGTGTGTGACGGTGACTGTGGCTGACCCTCTCCTCAGTGGCGGGGATGAACCAGCTGAGGGAGCAGGGAGTGATCCACCGGGACATCAAACCAGGGAACATCATGCGTGTGCTGGAGGAGGACGGACGCTCACAATACAAACTCACCGACTTCGGGGCCGCGAGGGAACTGGAGGACGACGAAAAGTTCATGTCTCTGTACGGCACCGAGGAATATCTGGTAAATCAGCCCCCCTCCCACCCCCCAAACCTGGTAAATCACCCCCCCCCCACCCCCCAAACCTGGTAAATCACTGTGTGCCAGAGCCTTCCCGCCTGCTTGCTGTGGGGCCTAGACCCACTGAGTCATCAGGAGAGCAGCACTGGGTGTAAGTTCATTGATCCCTAATCAATCGATCAATAAATCCCCAATGCTCTCCCTGTTAATGCAGTGCAGAGACCCATCTGGTGGGCACAGCTCCACCTGTGCCATGTGGTGCCGGCTGGAGTCTGGCGCCCTCTGGTGGGCAGAGCGAGACTCATGGTCAGAGCGGATGTGGGAGAGAGAGACTGTCAGTCACCCTTACTCCCCCTCCTACCCCCACCCAGGCTGGCACTCCAGCACAGAGCTGGGGGAGCGTTGCTCTGTCAGATGCTTTGCCTCTGTGCCGGGCTGTGTGTGGGTCTGTGTGTCTGTGGGGCTGTGTCGCACTGTACTGTGCTGCGCTGTGCCGAGCTGTGCCGCGCTGTGCCGAGCTGTGCCAGGCTGAGCACCTCTCTCTCTCTCTCCCTCACCAGCACCCTGACATGTACGAGCGAGCGGTGCTCAGGAAGCCGCAGAGCAAGGCGTACGGAGCCACCGTTGACCTGTGGAGCATTGGCGTCACTTTGTACCACACGGGCACCGGCCGCCTGCCCTTCATCCCTTACGGGGGGCCGCGCAGGAACAAGGAGATGATGTGCGTATGTGTGGGTGTGGCGGGCGGGT